TGGTGGGATAATTGGTCTTTGGAAGGCAGCCTGCTTAAAGATCAAAATGCTTCAGCCTTCCCCAAGTATGTGAAGGATCTATGGGTCTTAATCCTATCCTATCTTAATCCTATCCTTCCATTCTGCAACCCCTCTCAAATCTCCAATATTTTGAAACTCTGTTAAAATGGGAAGAAGGATAGAATTGTAATAAAAAATAACATATCTCCATCTCCTCCTCCCCATCAGGTGGTGGATTGGGGTCATATAATTTGGAACAAATTTCTTACTCCTTCCATGTCCTTTTTTATTTGGAGGCTCTTCTCAAATTTGATTCCCACTGACTATATCTTGAAATTGAAGGGCCTTAGAGGACCCTCTAGATGTATTTTTGTCTGACTGAGGAGGAAACTCTTGCTCATCTTTTCTTTGCCTCCCCTTGGGTACAGAAAATTTGGACAATAGTGCTAGAAAAGTTGAATGTTCAAACCATGAATCTTCCATGGGATGTTTCCTTTAATTGCTGGTCTGATTGGAGGGGTATAAAACTTCAAGATATCTGCAATATTGTGGCTTTGTTTTTTTTGGTGGGTTGGAAAATAGAAATCACCTGAAGTATGAAGCTACTCCCTCAGAGCCAATGAAAGTGGGCCTAAATTGCATTGCCTATGTATAAAAATTGATTAAACTCAAAAATTTTGGAGTTGTATTGGAGCTGGCCCCCTCTTCTAAATCTTCAATTACTAAAGTTTTGAAAATTTGCTGGTCTCTTCCCAAGTGTGGCTAGATCAAAGTTAATACAGATGGTTGCTACAAGTCACATTATGCAGGTATTGGTGGTGTCTTCAGGAATCATGAGGGGAGGTGCATCTTATATTTTCAATCTCCTGTTATGGTTGTTGATCCTCTTGAAATTGAATGTCAAGCTGTTTTTTGGGTCCTCTATTTTGCTAGATCTTGCAACTTTCACCAGCTGTGGGTTGAATCTGATTCCTTGCTGCTTATCAACATTATCTAGGGTTATTGTGACATCCCCTAGAACTTAATCTGTTGGATTTCTTGGATTCATCTATTGCTGAATAATTACTCCATAATTTTCACTCATATACATAGAGAAGGTAATAGACCTTCCAAATGGCTAGCTAGAAGGGGACTTCACACTGAAATCCCTTTGGTGAGCAATAGGACTCCGCCCTCACTGGCCTTCCTATTATCCAATGATCTTTTGTCTCTTCCCTATATTAGATATCTTCCTTTTGATGTTTTGAGAGGTTGCCTTCTTTTAAAGGCCCTCTTCTTCCTCTTTGTAACTGATTTTCTTGGCTCCTTATACAAACACACACACACACACATATATATATATAT